TTTCCCTGTCATATGAGGGCAATAATACAGAGTTATCTTACAAGTTATTTTAAAGACTAAGTCTTCTATCTGTAATTATTATGTGACAGAACACTAGCAATGGTTTATGACCTATATATATATGTGCATAGCTTTCTGGGTTTGAGATCAGCTAACTTGTGACTGAGTTTCACAGCTGTCTTCTGTAAGAAATGCTGGTTTGTACTATAAGATGCATTTCCCTAGCAGAATTCAGGAAGGTAGTAACTTTAAACAGAATTGGTTTTAGTTAGCTTTGCATGTTTACTGCTGTAAGTGGCTGAGGATAGAAAAAAAAATTCTTTAGCTGCTATGAATAGAGAAACGCTCTCTAAGAATTAAATGTTTTGTAAAAGAAAAAACAAAACACTTAACAAATATGGCTTTAATATGTAGAAATGTGCTTTGGTATCTCAGCTGGCACATAGCATAAAAGTATGTCTTGTTTCTGTTGATCTCAGTGATTCAGTTTAATGATTCAGTTTAGTAGCAAGAGGGAGGCCTCTTTAATAATTTTGTAGTATAGCAGGGCTTCTTTGAATTAGTAGTCAGCTTTTTTAATAGATCCCTTATATTGAAACATTCTGTAAGATATTGCTAGTCTTGTTCTTACCTTTTGTGTACATTTTTTACAAATGTTACAAGGCATCCGAAAGTTTTATTTGAGATACAAATTTGACCGCAACAGATGAGATTTGATAGTAATGAATTGAAGAATCCCTCCTGAACCCTCTAATAAGTGTGCTTTCAGTGTTACACTTTTTTCAGCATTGTAGGCTTTTTGTTAGTGTGTGATTTATCTTTTGGTTTGAGTTTTTTGGATTTGTGGGGTTCAGGTTTTTGTCGTTGTTGTTTCTTCAAAATACTTACTAAGAGGCCTTAAAAATGTGGGGAACTAACTCTTGACCCTGTGTAAACAGGGAGAAGAGCAGCCACCCGTTCTTTAGAGGAATCCAGATGTGTCCCCTAATGGAGAGAACATTTTACCTCTGCTGGAGAGTGAAAGTAGCTGTCTGGATAAGGTAGGCTTTATTTGCAGGTTACCCACTGATTAACACACTGTTTCTGACTTTTACTAGTGCCACCCTTGGATTTACCTTGAATTTATCTGTGTTTGCTTAATCTCTCTGGGTCAAAATATTTTAGTTAAGCCAAGAAATAGCTAACTGCTTTCAGTCATGTTTTGTGAAAATTGGTGTTAACAGTTTTGAGGTATTCTTGCCTAAAAAAACCTCTTGAGTTTTGAAGTTGGCTTTGAATATAACCTTTGTTATTCATGTTCAAAACATTTGAAAGGGAGTTTATATGCAGCAGAACATCTGAGGTGGTGAAATACTGGTGGAGTAGGGTAAAGAAGCTGTGAGAAAGGTGAAATGAAAGGCAATTTTTGTAAGTGTGATAAGTAATCAAGAAAGATTATATGTGATTTATACTGTTTTGAAAAGCTGAAAATATTGCACAAGCTATTGTGAAAGGTGACCTGACTGGAGTAGTGTTACAGAATAAGTTTAATCAATATAACTTTTTAATTCTGCTCTATTCTTTTAAATGTATTCTTTTGTCTGAATAACTTCAGTTAGCATTAGCAGGAGAAGAAATACCAGGTCACATATCATAAACTCATCCTGACCTGGTTGCTTGGCTATGGGGGAGTCTGGAAGAAGATAAGGAGGAAACTTTGTCAACAGAAGCAGCAAACCATCGAGATAAGGACAACAAATGGCCTGTCAGGAGTTTGGAGGCAGAGAACCAAAGAGAAACAGCTGAGCCCCCAGATCACGAATTACCATTGGACCAAGAGGCACGTGGACAGCACATGAAGAGACTGACCATTGGACCGAAAGACGCGTGAAGGGCACATGGAGAGGGAGTGCATAGATTGTAAGGATTTAAAAACCCAGGTTTTCTTTGTTTCGGGGTCCCTCTCTGGAGGCGCCCAGCTCGAGCTGTCATTCTGCTGTACCATCCAAATACATTAATTATTTTTCTAAGATTGGAAGTCTGAGACTCTGCTGAGGGAGACCTAGGGTAAAGAGATTTCTTTAACAAGTAGCAATGGGTGAGAATAGCAAAAGGTAGCAACAGTAAGCATTGGGGTTTCAGACCAAAGCCACCAAGAGCTCTTCTTGTGGTCTCTTCAGCTGGTATAAATAGAGTCCTTAGAGCCTTCACATCTCTAAAGAACAAGAGCTTCATCTACTAAACAGATGAACTCTACTGTCCCTGGGCAAAAAACAGTGGTGCAAAATCTGAAAGGGAGATTAGTTTGCTGCCTCATCAAGTATGTGAGGCTGTAAGAGGATTGGACTTGCATATTCAAGGAGCAGTGATTTCTGCTATTTTTCTGATTACTTAGGATTTTCAACTTAATGTTTGTTTTGTTGCTCTAATTGCCCCCACAACAGTATTTAGCTAAAACTCTGTAGGTAATTTCATATGGGTTGCAAGGGAAGTATTGATCACTTCTGATGGGCCAAAATAATGAAATAGAGTTTTTGAGTGAAGGCTCAAGCTCTATCTACACTTTCAGTGGGAATTCCTACAAGTTTAATCTGGTTCTTTACTACCAGGTATTCTTGGATCTAAAACTTTAAGTTTTTTTCCCTGTGGAAAATATATTTTCATCTTCCCTTCCTGCAGAAAGGTTTGTTCACTGTTTGTGTTGACAACAAATAGCTTTCTTCTACATCTAAGCAAACTTCTCTTCAAAGAAATTTGAATGCTAGACCTTCAGTCAGACCTTCCAGTAGATTTATCTCTATGTATATGTTGTTTTAGAATCATAGAACAGTTTGGGTCAGAAGGGACTTTTAAGAATCATCTAGTTCCAACTCCTCTTTGGGACATTTTTCACTGGATGAGGTTGCTCAAAGCCCCATCCAACCTGACCTTGAATACTTCTGGGGATATAATGGAATTTTGGTGTAATGCAGACTTCTTATCTTTAGAATAATTTCTCTTTTCTTGTGAAATTTTTACAAACAGTTACATGGAGCTGCGTTAGCATTATAAAGGTATCTTAGATATATGGTGTTTCAATTTAACTGAATTGCCCGGAAATTAGAGAGCATAGTGTGAGCATCTGCCTTGTGACCTTCTGAATTGGTACTTCCTGTTCCTATATGCAGTTGCAGCCATGAACTCTGTTTAAAAACAAGAGTGTTGATATGTTGCAGTGACTGACAGTGAAACAGCCTCCAGGTCTGATTCAATTCAACATTGAGCAAATGAACGTAATATGATTATTTTAATAACAACACAGTTTCTTACTCGGATAATATCACTGAACGAACTTAACAGCTGGGCCAGCCTAAACACCAGATGGTGGTATTTGGTGAGCGTCTGACCTGTGCCTAGCGAATGAGTTAACTGGTTTGGGCATCTTTTATGAAAATTCTTTTTCACAGCTACCAAAATCTATTTTCCATGAAACTTCATTAAAAAACTCTGAAAGAATGAGTGTTTCCAACTAGGAGTTAAAAGCAGACTACACTGAAGAAGTTTTTTTCCATCTTCCACAATCTCAGAGAGGCCAAAAATAAGTTGTAATTACTTGGTTAACTTAATGGTTAGCTTTGGGAAGATATGTGCCTCTCATAAATGTCTCTCTTACTGCCATATATGCCTGCCTTTATTGATAGTTCTTGATAGCTTCCTGAAGAGAATACCTATGAAGGTATTTACCACTTCAGGACTTGAAGTATGTGGTAATCTGAGTCTCAGCTGTATGCCTCAGGTTAATTTAATTCATATTCATCCAGGAGAAATAACTGTTTTCTGAAATGTGTTTTGTATCAGTGCTTGTGTTGGGTTTTTTTTAAGTTCTTTTTAAAAAAAAGAATAGTGGGCTGTATTTGGAAACTAGCTGTTTATATTACAATCATTAAGAGATTTTTTTTTGTATTATTAAAGTTGTTATCCATTAGTTTCTGGATTCAAGAGGCTGTCTCTCTATCTGCAATCATGCTTTTCACCTCTTTGTGATAGAAAAATTGGTAAGCAGTTCCAAGTTCAGTAGACAAGGAGATGTATTGTTTTCTTTTTTACTTAATGTGTTTAGTGGGAGGTTTTTTTAATTTTTTTGTTCAAAACTTGGTGTTCCATGTAGAGATTGTAGAGGCAGAGAACTGATCTACCAATCACTGCTATGTAAGAGGCTTTGCATTATCTCTTTAGTAACCTCTGGACCTAGTGTGCAGTCTGAATACTCAAAATAGCTGCCTGCGGTCAAGAAAAGGAGTCCTGTTGCTTTGTTAAGGTCATAGGTTGCCTTGTTGGCTGTAAGGCCCTTGCTTAACACTGCTTCCCACTGACCTCTAGTTCACCAAATATTCCAGCAAGTGGTGGTTTCATACATAAGTCCTTACGGCTTTTTTGTACGTCTACACTTGGTGGTTGCTGAGGCTGTTAAATAATGGTTGGACCTTAGCTTGCAGGTGAGTAGTGCAGTTATATTGATGCCACTTCAGGATCCATTCATAGCTGCTGATAAGATGTCCTTGGTGAGATCACTTCTGAATTGTCACTCTTTTTGATAGTTTGGTTTGACAACAATCTCATTGCACAACACAAAGTCAGTCCAGTAAGTCAACATTCTTCAGCTGAACGTGTTTCTGATATAAAGCTGCATATGGATTACATTTTCCTCTGTAGAATCTCCCTCAGCACAGTATTGTCAATTCTCACCTGTGCAATTTCCTTTGCAATTTTCCTGCTTCTATCTATTCTTAAAGATTAGTCTTGAGTTGTTTACAAATGTACAGAAAATCAAAGTAGAGCTACTGTTTATTTCCTTAATAGTAGTTGTTAGCCATGTGAATGTGACTGATTACACAGAATAAACTACTCTGAGAAAACGGTAAAACAAGAAGAAATAGAGGGCCAGATTTTTCCTCTAAAAGCACACAGTCCTACATGCTCATGTGCTCCAAATTAAAAGTTTTATTTAAGACGGGTAACTTCTGCATCATGAAATTAAAATATTGTTTTCATTTTTGCATGTTATAAAATAAAGCTTTGTTCAAAATAAGAAAAGGAGGAATCTCTGTAGAGAGGTTATCCTGAACCAAAAGCTAGTTTTGAACATGTGACATGTAAACTGCTGTGTGGCTGACAGATGAGCTTGAATATAAAAATGTTACAGTCAGTACTGTCATTATAATGAATGAAATCAGGATTCTGTTTTCAAACTTTGACTCTCATTACAAAATCTTTACGTCCTTTCTCCCCATTACTCATGATTTTTGATCATTTTAAGTGTTTGCTCTGTAGGATTTAAGTAAATTTCTATTTGTTATAAATGTACAAGAAGCGAGAAATACCTCACAGTAAAAGGATGTCTTTAAACCAGTAAATTTGAGTGTACTGCTTCTATTACTTTAAGTTTTGTTTTTATGTAGTAAAGAATGATCAGGAAATTTCACATACCATATGTTTCAAAAAAGCTGCAACAAAGTTATTTTAATAAGAAAAATGAATACATGAATTATTTAAATTAGTTGGTGCAACTGTTCCTGCTAACTAATCCAGGCACTTGGAAGGCAATTACACTGAACTTTGACAACATTGCCAACCCACAGCACATGCCTTATGCCAAAAAGCTATTGTTGTTTTATTGACCACGTTCACCATTACATATGCATATGAAAAAACAGAGGCATTTTCATCGGGATTACCCTAATAGCATTAAGAGATTATTTTTTAAATTTCCTTGGAAGGAAATTCACTTAAATGAGATTACTTATTACTTGACTGGTTTCCTATCATGCTGCTACGTTTAGGTAAGTGGAGTCCATTAGAGTATAAAGTTTTTTTTAAAAAATGATTTTATACATTAATGATTTCAAATAAAAGAGAAGTACTATATTTGTGCAGAGCTTCTTTTGAGAAAGTTAAGTCGATGTTCTGGTTAGGAGAGATAACACTTTTTGTCCCTCTTGGTGGCCCCCCTAGTGTCACCATTAGTTGCTAATTACTTGCAAACAAATAAACAATTAACTCCTCGTGCCTCTTGGTGGGAGAGTTTTCATTGACATGCTAAAGCTTTCTAATAAAAGATTTTAATTAATGACGTTGCAAATCCAACCCCCTTGTCAACATAGCTATAAGGAGCACTTGTGGAGAAATGCAAGTACAGTACACATGCTATGCTAGCCGAAGGTGAAAGCATGGCAAGTTCATCACTATGTGCTGCTAATACATCAGCATCTCAGAACCTTCGGAAAGTGTCTGGTTTTGTAGAAAATAAAACCACACAGTGCTCATTTTCCATTGAGAGTATTTTGGGACTGGAGCAGAAAAAAGATGGCATTCCAGCTGTGAAACCTCACAGACCATGGATGGACGCATGCAACAACTTGAGTAAGTCAGCAGTCTGTTTTGTAACCTCTCAAGCTTTTACTCTTTTAAAAATGTATATATTTTCATGTTTCTACTGAAAAACAGTAAACTGAAGCTGTTGTCTGCTTGCTTTTTCTAGTTTCAGGTGATGACACTAATCCCCATCTGCAAATCCCTATTGTTTGCTATGAAAATCCATTATTTCATGCTAACAGTAATCCAGTGCAAGAGGAAAAAGTTTTGAAATGTGAAAAATATTTTTCAGTCACTGAAAGGCTATCTTTCAAACGAGAATTGAACTGGTACAGGGGTAGAAGACCAAGAACTGCATTCACTAGAAACCAGGTAGGGGTTTTCTCAGTATTTAATAAATGAGTACCAATGTAGTTCAGTAAAATGTTGGTAGAAGCCTGTAACAGCTGACTAATTCATTATGATGTACCTCTGCAGAGAGAAATGTAATCAGGAGCTAGTATAAATTAACAGTAATCTTGCTAATTTCAGCAGACCTGTCTATGCATGGAATCAGAATTGTGCAAACCCTGCTCGGAAGTCTCCTGTTGAACAAACTATACTGGTTTTTGAATTTATTTTCTTCATTGCTGCTATGAAGGTAGTGATAACTATTCAACAAGTGTGTTTTAATCTTCTCAGATTGAAGTCTTGGAAAATGTTTTCAAAATGAACTCCTACCCTGGCATTGATATTAGAGAAGAGCTAGCTCGCGAATTAGATTTAGATGAAGACAGGATCCAGGTAATTAAAAATTTATTTGAACTTTTCTGTAATACCATCTGTATGTACTCTCTGGTTATATAAATGAGTAGTTTGACAGCAGTAGCAATAATGTTAATAATCTCAATTTAAAACAATGTACATTTATACATGTGGTATGCCTTCAATGATTTGTGAAATGGAAGCCATTTAATTAGTTCTGAAATCTTAAACCTTCTTCCATAGCATTGATGAGGTATTCATTGCTATAATATTTCCATATCTGCTCTGTTAATCTCTAGTTATCATGTGCATGTGCAGAACTTGATCATTTGCTTCCACATTTTAAAATCGTGTTTATATTATGCTTGTCACTATATTTGAAAAAGAAATTTGAAACAAATATTGAAACAATTTATATAAAAGTCTAAGTATTTTGTGAAACTGTCAGTAGAGTGTACATGTGTTAAACCAATGTTTGAGCCTATGTCTTCATCTGGCCAAAAGCAAAGTCTACTTGGGGATTTTAATTACTGATTTCCAGATAGTCCAATGTGATAAGAAGCATAACATAAACATTAGAATTTTGGCCTCACCTTGATGTTTATTAAGCTTTTGATGCAAGTATTATATTGGGGTTGATGGGAAGCTTGATGCTGTGATTAATTAAGCAGGTGAAGAAATAACACCTTAAGACTTGTGTGTGAAGTCCAGATGCTCAGAATCTTCTGGTCTGATTCAGTGCCAGTGAAGTTAATATTAGTTTTCATATTAAATATTGTGAAGCTGGTCCTTACTTTCCAGTTAAGCTGGGAGTTTTATTTTCTTCATTTGTGGTGTTAAAATTATGGCACGTAGCCACGTGCCATCATCTGCAGATTTTAAATTTGTATTAAACTTCCAAACTACTGTCATTACACAAAACACTGTAAAATTGTGTGAATATTTTTAAGTTTCAAAGCTTATTCTGCTTACAGTGCTGTATTTCTGAAAAGCATTTCTTTTATTTTGATTTTAGATCTGGTTCCAGAACCGTCGTGCAAAGCTGAAAAGATCACACCGAGAATCTCAGTTTCTAATGGTGAAAAATACTTTCACCTCCAGCCTGCTAGAGTAGAAAGAAGGATGGTTTGCTGTTACGGTACTACAATAGAACATGAAGAATTATTGGCATTTTCATAACTTGTATTAAGTAATGATGATATACTAATTATTATTTTATCGCCAGATTTGAAAGTTTATCATAATTTTCATTCAAATAAACTGTAAATACTTGAAGTATTATTATAATCTACTTTTTGTGGAAAAAGTGAACCTTTCTTCTATATTTTAATAAATATTTTCAGAAAAATTTAGATATTTTTGCAGTTTAAAAAAATTCAAACCTTAGGTTGCACAAGGTTTTCAGCTAGTATGAATTACTGCAGCTTAACTGAAGACAACTTAACAAAGCTTCATGGTTTTAAGTCTGTTTAAAGTCTGAAATACACAGCATGCAAAATAGATTTTGCTACCTGAAGCAGATTGTGCATTACATTTAAACATAGCTTATTTATAAAAAGTATGATAGTTTTCATAAAGAACATAATTTTTGGAAAAGGTATCAAATGGAAGGGCTACTCTTCAACTGACTGTTCAGTTTGAACAATTGTTTGGTTAAAAGAAACTGAAAATTACAATCTTTTTTATACCATATTTTAATTAATTTAGGATATTTGCCTATTTAATACTTCAACTTGGATACCTCCTCTCTTGTCGGTATACGTATTCCAGTTATGGAAGTTGCCCTATTTCCTTTTAATAAGAGAATACAGCATTTCACATGATCAAATCAGTTGGGACTAGACCAGATATCTACACCATTGCCATTCATTTTAGGGTGTTGAATTCATTTTTATCAAACAGTACATGACCGATAATTATCCTCATATCTGATATTCAACCCTCAATATGCATAAGGAGAGCCTTATACAAAAAACCCAACTCTTCATGGCCATGATGTAGGAAAACATTGTAAGTATGGGTTTACACTGTTCCTTTTTCGGCAGAGCTCTAAGGACTTGCTTGAAGTGCTAGAGTCCTTCAGTAAGACTTCAGCCTGTGTTTCTTGTTAGGGATACATTCTACATGGGGCCAGCTGTATGTAAAAAAAAAAAAAATCGTTTGTGTTAGGCTGCCGGTTTTCAGCAGAAGCAGTGACTTTAAATGATGTTTCAATCTCTAAATCTGAAAGAACCAGTAAATCCCAAAGAATTTAGACATAAAGCTTTGTTAATCGGGTTTTACTGCTTGGCTGACTTGAAAAATAGTTTTGGTTCAAAATAAAATCTTACATTTACAGTAGTCAAAAAACCTGAACCGAATCATTTTATCTGATTTTTAAAAAGAGAACATAGGGAAAAATTCTGAAAACTAGGGAGAAGAAATTATGTGAGTGCTTATGACATTCAAACTGTTTTTATCTAATTCAGAGTGTAGATCTCAGACTATCCTACATTGAAGGAATGCCTAGCCACTGAACTATGATGTTGGTTTCCAGATTTCTTGTGGAAGCAGTTTTGCTTTATAAAAACTATTTTGATATTCACTGGAAGAAGAATTTTAGTCAAAGTCTTCAATCTACATACCTTAGCCACCAGGCTTATTCACAGGCTGACGCTCAGCTTCTATGAAGCCAGTTAGGGCACTGAGGACGTAGAAGTCAGCATATCATTGTTAATATAGGCTAAATGTAAATAGCAAAAAAGGGGAAAAAAATTCCATAGATTCTTGTAGTGTTTTAGTAGTGCAAATACAGTTGAATTGCTCTTCACTTGCACTTTATTGTTTAATAATAATAAAATTACAACAGATTTTTTTTTTTCTGGTATGTTACTTTCAATGTAGTATAGTCTCTAGAAGAGGTAGGTGTTGAAATGTTAAAGACCTGTCTCTACTGCTTCTAGACAGTTTTTGATTCCTGTATCTCTTCTAACATGCTCTGCTTTTCCTTCAGTTTGTGTTCTTAGGATATCTCTATACATTTCAGTTGTTACAATGGATGATTAATGTAGCTTTGCTGAATGTTTGCAAGATATTGTGAAATGCAGTTAGTTTAGGATTTTACGAGATAACATTGTACATGTTATATCATGAACAAACCAAGTATTGCTCTTCCTTTCTTGACACTTGTATCCATGATATTTGCTGTCCTATAAAATGAAAGGTAAGTTTGAAAAAAGAGATGACAGAAAAAACTTAATTTTATATAGACTTATATTAGGAAAAGCTAAAGGGAAGCATGATCCGACTTCAATCCTTAGTTGATATTTTGGATGATAGGTTGAGATATAAGAGTTTAAATAAAAACTTTGTATTTTCTAGAAAAATGTTATTGAAAAGCTGCATTACTTTAGAACCAGACTACAGGTATTTGCCACTTTGTCTTTAACTTTATGGGCTCATTGTCTTCATTCTTATAGAATCCTTAAAATCTTGAATTGTTTGACTTTGCTTCTGGAAATCCTATTTTAGTGTGAAAATAAAAAACTTATCCAATATTGAAATGTTAATTATTCATGCTTTGGATTCAGGAAATAACATTACTAACTGAACTTCTGTTGTATCCTGCATTCAAAATACTTAAGAGAACATTCACAAATAAAGCAATTTAATGGAGCCAAATCCATTACAAATAGTTTTTAGAGAAACTGGAATCTCAATTCAGACACCTACCTGATCTGGTCAAGGTAAAGACAATATTGGGAATGCATGAGTTCTATTTTGTTTTTCTTCTCACCTCAAAACATGTATTGCCCATAGCTTAACCTTATTGCAGGTAATTTGAAACTATTGTCTACTTTACTGCTGGAAACAAGGTTTCCAGCAGCAACAGATTAGACTAATCTGTACACACTGATGGCTAAGACCCTTACTCTATTATCTGGCAAATACCTAAATACACCTAATGTCTCTTACAATGGAACTTGTCTCAAGTGACGGAAGTCTGACAAAGCAATTAAAGAAAAGGAGTAGAATAGTAGGAGAATAATAATAGCACCAGCCCTGGTATCCAGCTCTCAATTAGCAAATGTTACCAGAAGGATGATTGGTGTAAGGTACTAAGAGTGTAGCACATAGTGGTGAGGGACAAAAAGTTTAATAGCATAATTGCATTATTTGCTTCATCTTGGCTCAGCTTGTTCTTCCTGAAGTAAATGCATCAACAAGTTAAAGGAGAACCTCTAACTTTACATTTATACCTATTTTGGCCAACATGGGTTTAAATTGTGGCCATCACTTTCTCAAATACAGCTGAATTTTTTTTCTATCTTAAAAAAATATTAGTCTGGACTTCACAGGATTTTCTAATCTTGTATTTCCTAATAATATGCAGCTTTCTGGGCTACCTTGGTAATACATGTGATACACTATATTATCTGTCTAGGCACAGCCAGTCCAAATAACAATAGTGGATGAGACTCTGTCAGAAGAGGCCACCATGCATGCTAAAATCTGGTCCTGCTCCAGTTTTGCATACTTTGCCTTGCAGTGTTTCTGTTTATCTACACTTCAGAACTGTGATTAGAAAAGTCTCAGTCGTCTTGGTTCCTATTCTGACTTAAGCTTTGTGAAGCCACAACCTCATTTACTTCCAGCCATGTTGCCTTGCGTTGGCTCCAGTGATCATTTGATGCTGTGATAAGCTGATAAATTCACTAGGATGGTGAAAAACTGTTTTAGCAAAAAACCTGGCTAGTCATAAGACTTCTCACTCTTAATATTGGCAAGCTGTTATATCAACGTCCATCAACATCTACAATTTAGGCTAGGGTCAGGTTGATAATGGGCTTCTGTCATTGTAATGGCACTTAAACATTCTAGTAGTGCTTTCCTGAAATAGGTCTGGTGTCTGTGACCCTAATCAGAATGCTGGGCTGCATAATTATTTGTTTTAAATTTATGTTCTTCTCTTAGCTAGTGTCTCTATCTTACAATTTTTTTTTCTAGCTACAAACTTCAGCAATGCCCAGTGCTGTCCAAAACAGGTGAAATATGCTCATGGTCTAAAAGCAGATTCAATTTAATTTATACCAAAGAACCAATGCTTCCAAAGTTCCATTGTAATATTATTACTTGCAACATACATAAAAGCATAGTTTGAAACTTAGTCTTTGAAAGCCTAGGTTTAGAACACCATTCATTAAATTATCATTTAAAACTTATTAAAAACATATTAAAACTTAAAACTTTTAATTATTTAGTTTATCATAAAGTCTGTGCTTACAGATAGCAATGTAGCGCACCAGCAAACTGTGTGTTACAATTTTGCAGGCGTGCATGGGTGCATCTATGTTTTTCTAGTTGTTCAAAGTTTTGTATTGAAAATACTTCTAAAGCAGTGAAACCCAGGACTTTTTATAGTTGTATGTAAGAAGATTAAAGCTATGTTCATAACATTATTAAAAGGAAATGTCGCTTTAAAAATCATCGAGCATTTATGTGACTGATTTAACAAAAGACTTGCACAAAAGTAGCCTCAAATCATTTGCAAACACCTCCAGTTTACCTAACATGAAATTAAGCTAATTTTAAACGGATGAGATTTAACTCTCAGGGTTAACTAGTAATCATAAAGTTTTTTGAAATTTGTTGTAAAATAACTTTTTTTTGATTCCTTGGATTGACTTAGTTTCCCCATCAGTTGTTAGGTTGATGCTTTTTCCCTTCATTTTAAAGGACTTAATATTACATAACTAGATAGGAAATATAAGGTATTTTATTTTCAAAAATACTTTTGAACAATAGTGATTGACCTAAATTATTATTTCATGTCCTGTTACTTGTGTCATGGATTCATCTTGACTCAAAATCATATTCTGTTACTTTTATTATAACTATTTAGAATATGTCATGTATTTATTTGATAATGGAACAGTAAAAAGACAAAGTAGTAATGATCATTATCTGAGGGGGAGCTGGGGCTGTTCAGCATCTTGGGGGGAGAATGATCCCATCTGATTGCGTTACAAAGCAAGTTCATGTGGCCATAATAGGCAAACAGGATTGTTAGTGAGGGAGAGGAATCTAGGGCTGTTGAAGAGCTATCAGTTCTAGATTCCTTTGTGGGGGAATAATCCCTTGAGTTGCATGACATGAGGGGGAAAGGGTTAGACAGAAAATGTGGAAGACCAATCTTTCTATTTTGGGCACCCAAAGCGGATACTGGCATGAGCCAGCAGCATTGTCTTAAACCAAACCAGGAGAATCTCAGAAAGTATGAGGTGCTGCGTTAGCATGGCACAGTATTAGCATTGCAGTTTTGCTTTCTTACATTGACTAGCAAAACAGAAAACTAATC